GGTCGCAGTGATTTATTCGCTACAAGCAACCCATCCCTATTGATATTTTTGTCAAGTTAACTGAAAATGACTGATCTTGTAATCTTGAAGAACTTTTCGGCTGACCGAATGCTGCACGCCATTGTACAAGCTATAACTGAAAGTGTGTCTCTTAATTAATAGCTTTGATATTTTGAGACAGTTAGGTTGAACGAGGCAAGGTTTCTATATATCAGATAGGATTAACTTACTTCACCTTAGATTTCCGACGATTCGGGATGATTTACAATCTACGCCTAACTAATCTCAGTGGAAATTAATCAGGTAATACCGAGCTATCTAGCACATGCTCATGCTCGCCATATTTAGTCGAGCACGATGCCATTTACCTATATCAATTTAATTAAAGGACAGAATTCGGTATTTGTCAGGTGGCGCTTTCCATCAAATAAAATCACACCAGCTATTCCTTTTTCCGCTCATCCAACCGCACAAAAATAACCTGAAAATATGGGCCGGTGTTTGATACATGCGCAATTTTAGCAGCAAAAAACTTGTTATCAGTAACCTACACCAAAGTTTCAATATAACTTGGAAATAAACTTATCAGAATACCTATGTTTCAATGTAAACAGTTCAATACGTTCGATGTGAACGCGGGATTAGTCACTACGTGTCAGTCTCGTTGTTGACAGGTATCCCATAGCAAAGCTATAGTGATAAGCGTCCATATATTACTCAATCGGTGCTGCGACTCCAGCCGACCGCCACAGTCACTAGTGGATCTTTACTCACAACGATTTCCAAAGAAGGCACCTGTGTTCGTTTTCTTTCACAACTATAACACCTAGGTACACGTTTATCGGACATTATTTTTATTGCTAATTATTTAATAGTGATCTCGGAATAACTATTTTTTCGTTTACTATCAACTGCTATCGAAGACCAAATGTCAATGTTTCGTTTGCAGCATGTTTCGGGTAGAACAAACAAACCAATATGGCAGCTCATTAGGCCATTGAGCTCTGGCTCCGCACTAACGTTTGTTTACGATCCTGTTTAACTGTAACTCCCGTTTACGGTCTACAGTCTCGGAACATAGTCATCGTGGACCGTACACCTCCTACATAGCACACGTCCACAAGGGCACGACAATCACCCCGCGTCATCTTTCTATTCCTATATTAATTGCCTGCTAAGTTCAACATACCAATCTGTATGGATGTGAGCGAACAACCAGCCGAACGATGTCGGCTCACTTGACTTCTCAGCGAACGGCAACGTTCAATTCAGGACTGCTGGGGTTCACCGTTTCCTCAAAGTCCTGAGGCACACGTGTTGGTCTAGGTTCGAACCCGGGCATGAACATACTTCGTTTTGTGCTGGGAGAATTATCTGATCGAATGTTTTACGGCAGTGTGAGATGTGAAACTCAAAACGTTTAGCGTTAAACTGTACGGAAGACTTATAAGGGTGATGTGGTATTTCACTGCCAGAAATTTGAGCACAGACCTCATTATTTTTTGTAAAAGAGAATGGTTTACTACGTCGGTCCCTCTCTGTTCCCTGTCTCTTTCGACACACAAGGAAGATGAGGGAAAATGTGCCGAAGAGAGCTATTGAGAATAAGGCACGGTTTTACGTACCACGACTTACTGTCCAAAATCAGGCCATTTTTTTTGACGGAATGATCTCTGACGGATTCGGCGTGCGTGTACCTCCATTTTTGTTCCAGTCGCTTAAATGACCTTCGAACTCAATCGTAGCAGCAGAAATCGGCCCTGCTTTAGTTTTCCCTGGTCGTCTTAAGCATGTTTGCCTTTGGATTTTTCGAGGTTTAATAAGAAGTAAAAGTCACAGCTGAACAGGCTGTGACTTTTACTTCTGAACTGAAGGCTCAGGCTGAGACTGAGTTTTTCTGTAAACAAAAAAAAAGGCAAATCACGCCAATGAAGTGTGAGTGGTGGAGTTTAAAAGTTATAACTTGTTCTGTTGGAATTCGAGACTAATTTGGCGGACAATGTCACACAATTTTTTGTAGTACAATCACTTCTTGATTCTTGACAAGTTCTTGATATTTGAAAAATTCAGTAAAAAAGAGATTCTGACCAGGATTTTGCATTTTTTCTTGGCTTAAACCCGCTTTCGAAGCAACGCTTAGGCAACAGTACTTTTGTATCTTTGTCATACTTATATATACATAGCTCGTCGCGTATAATGAGACGTTGAAGTAAATAAACTGCTCTTTGGTTGTGTTAAGATCTCGACGACACAACTGTTGCTGTCTCTGTCCTCATGTTAATACAGTAGGATATCTGCCTACTAGAATTAGGACCACATGGTAGCCTAGGTTCGAAGTCAGACGTGGACACAGTTCGTTTCGCGCTAGCAGAAAGCCGTCTGAGATAACGTTCGAGACAACTTACGGACATAAAACTCGAAATGTTCATCGACTCGTTGACGCCTTTGCGTTTGTTCAAATCGAGCTTTTTATCGTATCGTCAATGTTTTTCAATATAGTAGCATTGTTTAGACTTAAGTTTAGTATGTGATATCAATAGGCGTAATTTACGATTAACTTTTGTCAGTAACTGACAAGGCCAGTAGACAGACCTTTGCGCAATTTGTGTTTTGATAACTGAAACAGTTCTGCGCCTCGTAGTATATCGCAACTGGCCATCTGGGCCTATCCTACTAATATATTGTTTATGCGAGCTAAAATCAAGATGAAATTTGTCGAAATTCCATGTTTCTAACTTGACACCATTAACCGCCTAAACATACAATATGGGCGTGAGTCACCTAATGTGTTCAATTAATCGCACGAAAGATACAAATCAGGAAAAGAAAAGGTTTAAAAACATGATTAGTCGTTAAGCTCGTAGATTAGCGGGCTCAGTTTTGAACCCTACTACAGAATCTTGACGTCAACTTCAGCTTCATTTGTTAGAAGGGCTTCAAACTTGTCCTTTTTCGATGAGTAATCGTATGTCCCCATAAATGGGTAACGTACTTGCCCACTAATTTCAGAGAAACGCGATGGTCAAGATTCGAAAGCAGTAACATACGCGCTGGGAGCCAGCCATCAGATGGAAGGTCTGACGGCGGCGACGAATGTAAAACTCGAAACCTTAAGTTAAGACAATACTATGTAAGCAAACGACACGAGCGTTTACTACCTCAACGTTCTACATCAAATGTTAGACGATGCTTCTTTTTGGTAGCTTCGCGGATCTGTTGTGCAATTCTTGAACTCAACCTGTTGACTACCCGAGGATTGTGGATTTTCCTCTACAGTAACAATGGATTTTTTGTGACCATAGTCAGCTTTTGATAGAATACTATTCTGTAGCTTATTGCGCAAATGTTGTCATTATTATCTTTCGTGCTTTTTTAATCACATACGTATTTCGGTTTTCGGTAAAAATTATCACTGAAACATTTTATGATATGTTTATCGCGGTTAAGCTCGTTCGTTTGCAACGGCCGGCATTCTAAAGTCCAAATAGATAAGGTAGTTTCTGTTTACAGCTGATGAACAACTACCCAAGAAAACCTCTAATAATTATGCTGCTGTTAAAAACCACGAGACTTGAGCCGTGTCTCAACACAGATCGAAATACTACATCTAACAGCATTAAGCCTGTCGATGGCCTTATTTCCCGATGGCCGAAGATCGTGTTTACCCTGCAAACTATTTACACAGTTGTTTGTCAAACATTTAGCGATCATAAATGCACAAGGCGTCATCAGGTGGGGATCAACAATTTAATTATATCACCTTTTGACAACAAAGGTAGAAGCAGAATACGGTAGCTATATAATGTTGTGACTATTTCATCAACATTAAGTTACGTGTAATCATTTTCGACTCGTGCGTTGCTTCGTCGTCCCCATATACAGTTAACTCCATAGTCTCATAAGTCGTTAGTTAGGTACTGTTTTATGTCGATATATGTTACTCGCAAAGATTCCGCTTCTCCCCTGTGACAGGACGTTTCAATTTATTGTTCTCTTTTTGCACGACTAGGAATAAGCGTGAAGAGGAACTGATGCTAGGGCCCAATTTGGGCAGTAAGCTCTGCAAGAACGGGCGACATTACGATGGCGACGAGATATCGCCGTCCCGTCACTGCTAAGACAACAATTACAAGCTGAAAACTATCCCACACGTAGCTATAATATTTTATGGATTATGCTTCTTTTGAAATCGTTTTTCCTCAGTGATATAGTACAGCCAATACATCCCTACGTCACCTTTTTTTTTTTTTATCAGTTTAAGTAAACTCTTACCCATAAAGAATGTAGATTGTGAGTCAATAGATGGACGCTTAGCTGTCATGTTATTATATTCAAACTATAAAAACTTAGTTTTTTGATACCTTATATGTGACAGATAGTTGTGCTGCGCGAACAAGGGCACACCAATATAATTGCCAGATATTCGACATATGCGAAAAAATACACATTATGTTTAGATACAAATGCAACCTGGCTCAACATCTTCAACGTGTTTGTGTTATATCTAATCCTGTTTTTCAACCCGCGCGTCCAAGATCGCCGTTGGGCGTCATACAAAAACATCGTATTGTCAGGGAATTCCGAAAGGAAAGAATTTCCAGTTTGTTTTTTTCCATTAACGTTTCGAGGAAAAGGTACATTGCCATTATGAGCTTGTAGAGGCTAATACCTCCTTGCACTCTGCACGCATTTAGAGCCAACTCTGCACTATTTATATTCATATTTATATATGCCTTTGGGATACCGTTTGCTCTCATTAGACTAATCGGGATAGATTCCTTTAAATGAAGCTCTCGAGCTGTTGGTAGTGACGCGTGAAATACTGGCGCTATCTAAACAGCTTCCTTGCGACAAGTTTATCTTCAAATAAATAAACAATGAAAGAAACGAAAAGCCGTCCCTTGCAAAGGGGGCCGCTTGCCGCTGCCGCTCTAGCTGCGAACATCTGCGGCGGTTATTGTCACGCTGCCGCTGAACGGGGTAAATGGAAATAACGATACCTTCTCGTCGCTGTCAGACGCCGTCAGGACCAAAGTGAGTTAGTGCGGTTCAAGGTGAGAGGCGTAGCAGATGAAATGGGATCATGTCCTCGTAAAGATGCTTGTTAGACTGCTTCGTCGCGTTCCAATGTTTGCCTTTGCCCTCCATCCCTGCTGGTACTTGCAGTACCAGCAGGCGCATACCTAGAATATAGAAACCCCCAGGGCTAAGGAGAATGCTAGAAAACACACAATATCGCTGTGCCTCTTCCTGTTTATTTTGACCCTCTGACTAGAGCGATGTCAGCTTGATTCGGGAGGACTGTTATATTCCATAAGCATGCGAAAAATAGTTGGTCTAACGGCTCCTGTTTCTCGTTGCTTTTCGTCATTGTTACATATAGGGCAAAGCAGTAGCAGGCAACTATTTTGATTCTAACCAACGGCTGACGTTGACAAAGTAATAACAGCTACAGACTTCTTGGTCATACAATCCTAATCTTTAGCAGCCTTCTATGATCATTATCATTTATAATCGTGCCTATGTAAATAAACTATTATTCATTGAAATTTAGCAATTCTAATAATTGAAGATGTTGGTTAGAAATGTTGTAGCGAAGCGTCGAAAACGCCATAGCATCCCCTGTATCGCTTGAATCGAAAAAACACTCCCCGATAAAGTTTTGAACTTTTAGCTAATAATAGCAAGTATATAATGTAAATGGTTAAGTGCCAACATCATGCGGAATACTGCGTGCTGTTTCAGACAATACAATATATACTGGCTGGCTTGCAAGCAACCCAGGTTTTAGCACGCATAGCGGCCTGGCCATACTTCGAATGATCATTACTACGTGTTATGGAGGGTGATCGCGATAAGCAGTCGATACTAAAGATCATAGCGAAAGCCACTTACGAAGCACCCGTTGTAAAAAGAGAAGCTTCCTTTCCAGAAACCATGCCATGAAAGAGTTTGTTGTTGTATTTACTGCGCATGAATGAGTAGTACCTCTTTGTTTTGACATAAACGGTACTTTTTCCCTTCATGATTGCTCTCCATTTTCATTGCTTGTTTTTCCGTTCTCCCTATTCTTTCTTTTAGTGTACTTCAATGCAAAACATATGAATAGATAACCATTAATTTTGCTTGCCTCTTCAATCTGTCCACCTGCTTGCCGGCGCATCTATTTATATGCGTCAGCAGTTGTGTACGCTATATCTACTACGGACAGATTGTTCCTTTTCTCTGTTATCTGTTCGATTTGAAGGCCGAAAGGTTATTGCAACACATACAGGACTAGGCTGATCGCGTACAGCCAGACGAGCAAGCACGCTCCGATGTTTGAGAGAACATTATGTAAGCGTCCACGCTCATTGTTACCATCAATGCGTCGGTGGCGACGGCCATAGGTGTATGTAGGCGCACAATGTAAAAACGTAAACCTCCTCCCTTCAACTCTGCTTACCTCATTTTCGTCAATGCCAACCTTTTTTTGTTTCGTTTCCTCGGGCAAACGCAGGACGACATCGCGTTTTCCCTTCGTTCAGTCGCCAGGCTCGTTTTTTGTTTGTTTTTATCATCAATAGGAGGGAGCAGCAGCGACAAACAATGAACGGGCCAACGAAACGTGTCGAGCAAAGTGTGCTCGATTATTTTACGTCACAAGATGGTCGACCACACGGTCTTTGTGCTCGTGAACGAAAAGCAACTAGAAGACAAACACCGAATAACAGAACGAAAAAGGCTGATCTGATAATGAGACTAATAGATGGCTGGCGACCAAACGAACACAGCGAGAGAAATAACGTTTGAGGAGAAGATGTGCTATGATGACGAATGCATGCCGACGTCCATAAATAAACAGGCGTTGATCAGCCGTTCGCTAGCTCGTGATAGCTGACAATGACGTTGGCTGATGCTTCCAATTTTCTTCGCCACAGACAGAATTAGCGTTCCTGCTGGCACCAGCAGCCAAGGCCAGTAGCGACGACAACGGCATAGAGATCGAAGCGAGCCCTAATCGGCCTGGGTTATAACCATCGATACACACCAGCCGTACGGAGATAGCCAGCGGAGTGGCCAGCAGTAATAGACGCTTGCTTATAATAATGGCAATCAACTCGGTCTGTATACACTAAGACGAAATACATTTCTATTATTAATAAGTTAGGTGGCTTTCGTGGCAAAGAACAAATCCAAAAAACAACTTGGATATGCATTACGTGTGAGTCCTCTATACCAAATATAGTAGGAGGCTAGTCAAAAGCAGGGAAAAACGCTTGTCAAACGTAAATCAAGGCCAAACCCTCGGCCGACCTAACCTCTTTTCGATGAAGGATTGTTGCTTGGCTAAAATACGTTTCGCTCGTGATCGCGAAATGTTGGCGACGGACTCGCGGATCAGTTTTCGAACGAGGTAGCATGATCGTTACACAAAAACGTGCTTTTTCTTCGGTTTGACCGCCATGCTCCACGTTAGATATTGTCAATGGCTGGAAATAAGACAGACCTCTAATGCTAAATAGAAGATACGCATTGAACTTTTTGTCACTTATGAATCAAACGGAGGCCTTCAGGGAGAAACTGTGCATATACTTGTAAAGATCACCCATTAACCGTAGCTACGATTTTTCTGTTAAACAAACAGTAATGAGATAATGACACGCTTGTAGAGTACCTATTGCATTGAGGTAATGTTTATGGGCACTATGCTTTTGTCTTACTACGAACCTACTTTTGCGTGCAATTGTGAGGTCGAGCATATTGCACAGGAACAAGATTGCTTCTTCAAATAATAACTACAAATGTAACACGGCACCGAGATTCCTTTTCAGACAATACTTATGCATAACAGCAAAAACGTTTTTATATTAAAAAATTTCGACACTTAACTAAATTATATAAGTTCGTAAAGCACAACATCCTTCTAAAGAACACTACGATTCTGCACGGAAGCTTCTAGCTTCCTAGCAAAAGCACTAACGCACATCGAAGTGAATTATAAACATCTAGTTGTGTTTTGATGAGCTATGCATTTCACTGACTGTGATGAAACTAACGTAGGATGCATATACACGGAGAGTAAATGTAAACAAAGTCATATCGCGTATGATCTTCCGTGACCTTTCGCGAGATCCGTGGCCTGCACACACTGACCTAGGGTGCACAGAATGTTCGGCGTGCCTCATTTTTGGACGACCTACGCTCACGTACATCTGCAGAAACGGTCGGACATATGTTAATTCGTCTGGGTGTCTGCTGGCGATATCACTTCCTCTCAGTTTACGCTTTATAGAAACGAATTAGAGTGCGATTGTGACATTTGTTGCAATTTCACTTTCAGTCTCGTTCATTACCCTTTCTCGGGCTTCGTACGATTATTAACGACCGCAAAAGGCGTAAAATACCGTCAAGCTATTCTCCCTTCTCCCTTGCCAGTACCCTTATTAGTCCTTTCGCATTTCCTGATGATCCGCGCTTCACAGCTGCATCGTAAAACGTCCGTTAGCCAGACAGCAAATCCAGCGCAGGCACGCCATGTTTGTCGGCCGACTACCAGGCGGCCTGCTGCATGGTAGAGTCAGCCAGTAACTGCGGCAGGAGCAGCAGCAGCGGCAGTAGCAAAGGCCCTACCCTGCTAAAGGTGGCGGCACGTGACCGGCCTGAAGAAAAGCTAAGAACTAGAACGTGAGGACAACTTGTGGCCCGTGTGTGATGGTAATGGTGCAGCTGCTGTTGCTTCTGTGGGGTAGAGCATCAAACGCAAAACACAGCGACGATGCGTCATTTGCAGAGCGAATCGACGATAACGAAGATGACGACGTACAAAATATGCGGGCTAACAATATGCGGGGCTCTGCAGAAGAGAAAGTGGGGTATGCGAAGACCGAGAAAGAACCACAAAACTGGAGGGAACGATCATCCAACGCGAACCTTGATAGAAACCGTAGTAAACGTATGTGACTTAATCAAACTCAAAACGCAAGACTGAATAGGATTGAGCAGACTGGAGCTGAACCGGTGTCTGTAGAAAATGTTCCACAAAGTCTTTGCCCTCCTATTGGTAGCAAGCGAAGGAACGACGGTGGATGGTCGCAGGGTTAGGATTGAAAAGCCAACGTTTGACGACGACATCTGAACGAGGCTTTGTCAATTCCGCCCAGCGAAATGAGAATGGAAATACTGTGTCTTCTCCATAACACCATAAAATCTCGACGAGCATCGAGCTACAGGGTCTACTGAACTTTTTTTTGACGATCAACATTTTCCATCGTTGCAAATCCATACCAGTCTACTGTCCCAGGGAGAATGAGCAGAAAAAAGAAGGCGCCCTAGAAATCTGTACGTTATTTGGACGTTGGTGGCAATAAAAGAACGCGTAAAAAGATCCCAAAGAGCAGCGCCCTTCTCACCTAACAGGGTCAATGGTCATTGAATCTTTGATAGCACTTCGGACGCCTGAGTTTCGTTTGTAAGTTATTCCATATCAACGTATAGACGACGCATAGTTGGGCGCCATGTGAGAATCAGATTTCGTATTGTATATGATAGTACATTAAGCAGTTGTTGCCTGATTACGGTTAGGACAACACACTAAGACCATATATGGCTGGGTTCGTAAAAAATGAAAGTGGAGGCTCGAAAGCCAACTGACAAAGAAATACGTATTAGGTAGAATATCGATTCGAGAAGGTACAGATCCTTTATGCCTGTCGGCCGATTCGGTCAAGAGAAGTTGGATAGTCGTCGGCCTGAGCAAGCGTGAGCCCATGAATAAAAATGGCGCCAGACAACTTGGTGGTCTCCAAATTTGACACATCATACAGTTATTACTCAGAAAATTTCCATGCTAACCAAAGCTATAATAAGGAAAAATTAGATACGTTTGGTAGTGTATAGGAGGTCGTTACGCTCAAAGATATGTTTCCATTCGTTCAGCTCAGTATCGTTAGCTACAAATTGAATAACACAAATTACTTACTGAGTAGTTGGTGGTTTTGACTAAGAAAAGGTCGGTCATATCTAGTGCAATATTTCTATCCGTATAATATGAAAAAAACATTGCATTAAATATCAGTTCTTACTCTTATTCAGCGACGTAAGAGCCAGCAACGTCGCTGCCGTAGTAATCTACGTTAGGTTTGTCGTCCTTTGAGTAAATACGCGCTCTATGTCAGTTTACTTCATGTTGGGGTCGTCGGACATGGCCTATATAAAATCGCAAGTACCCATTTCTTGGTGTTCGTAAATTCCGCAGTAATTCCGCAAACCTGCGACGAGGTAATAGAGACAACGGGATCATCACCATAACTGCGTAATTTGTGACTTACTTTGCCAGACCGGTATTCGAGTGCCCAGAGAAATGCTAATGGAACGTAACGTTCGCCTAAGACGAATCCGAAAGGACTATGACTAGACTTCAACACAACGTAGGATCTATCTTTGCACTGTATCTTCTAGCTGGAAATATTTTTCCCGCCTCGCTGTTCGCGTATTTTAGCTCGTTGCGGCGATCGCTATAAGTGTTGTCACGATAATAACGGTCAGTCAGTCGAACCCCAACAGGCTTAGAGGGATAAAATCGCCTAATCCAGGGGCGTTTGACCCAGAAGCGGCTTAATCGTATTATATCGAGCTGAAGGCTGACGATCGAGTTAAGAATGATAAGCAACCTGGCCGTAAAAATTTCATGCCAATATATGGTAGTTTGATAACGAATCCCAAATAATATATCAACGTAATAAGTGATGCTTTAGACCTCCGAATTCCCGGACATTAGTTCCTACGAGTGTAGCTCGCTTTCGCGCCCATGTTGATATCTATATAGCACTTGCAACATAACGAGCTTTCAAAACGAGAGCCAACGATTTACGCGGGTCAATCAACAGACGGATGGGTCTCTCTGTAGCTATCGTCCATAGAAATACCGAACTATACAGGCGCCAACGTGATAACATTCCTAACGGTTATGCTGACAGCTCTGTATTATAACACAAATGAACTTTAAAGCACTCAATAGTCACTCAGAGTTGTAGATATTATTTGGTGAAATGATGTTCTATCACTGTAAAGTAATACAGTGATAGAAATGATCTACAATCAGTTGACACCTATTGCGAGATACCGACGTCCGAAATAGTTGAAGCGGGGCATTGAGAACAATACGACCTAGAATAGAAACAACGTACAAATAAAATATAGCCCTTTTGAATGAGTCAGCATTGATGAATCTAACAGTGATGTATTACGATGTTGTTATCTAGATTGGTGCACAATACACGTTTATAAACATACGGCGACTGGGAGCTTGCCAAGACAGTTTCCTTTCCAGTGGCATCGTTCAGCCCGCTGTTGTCATGTCGTCATTGAGAACGACTATTGATTTGGTGCTGCAGTCTGCCAATCGGTTAAACATAGCGTTGGTGACATGTGTTTGTTCTATAAACAAGTACGTGTTTATTTTATGCAGTTTAGTTCCATGTGTGATATCGTTTAAATACGTCCGTTGTATACCATGGAAAAATTTCCGCCAGATCTGCCGTTCAATCCGACTACAACGACGAGGTACTGCCCTACGTTGGTTCATATTATTATGAAATATTGGATGTACCGCTATTTTTTCTTCGCCTTGGTATTTTATCATTGGATTAACGATTAATGAAGACAATTTTTTAATTTGAGATTGATACCATGTTTTCCATAGTTTCTAAACATCTAGGACAAAAATAAGAGATTTTTAGTCGCGTTATTATTATACCCTATCCACACATTACTTTCATCCGGATAAGACTGCTATAGAAAGGCAAATATTACCTTCACTCTGAATCGTATCGCTCAATGATGTGTCTCGAATGTGAACTCATCTGTTAACACACTTCGGACACTCTGCATAAAACCTTACCCCTTTAGCGAGCACGATTAACACTTGGGTATGACGTACAGCTATATACTGGGCTAGGTAATTTACCAAACAGGGATCTCGTACGGTGACTCATCTTGCACGATTCTCAACGTATTTCGATAGAATGCCTTAATAGAAACAACACCCATTTCAAACATCGACAATTTAAAAACCCGTTAGAACATTACTTTCTGTGTACACCCATTAGTTTCGTCACTGTTCGATTTGATGCTGGTTTCACTTTAAATTGCTATCAAGTTTATGCTACATCTAAAATAATCAATGAGGATCTGAGTTAGTTTTAGCAATAGTAACGTAAAAATTTTCTAAATGCAAATAAAAAAAAACCCTTTTAAACATCATTAATGCGCTGATAGTATGGATTTCACCGGTAGCTCATTTTTACATCAGGATAATATAGTGCCTAATTTTATGTAGCTGCGTAAACCAGAAGATAGATAAAACAAAAAAAGGCAACTACCATTTCAACCCCGGTTATCATCCGACAGCTAAATAACTGAAGTACTGTAAATCGTCCGAAATTGTTGTCCTTTCTTTTTAAGGCCGCCTGATATGCTCGCGTCATTTTATGAGTTCGATCTCTTCAGATACGCGTCCTACCAGTTCCTCTCAGGACATAAGGCCTTACGGTTACTTGTCTGTATTTTTTTTATATGCCACTTTTTCCACTGAAGGTAGGAGCAAAGAAGGTGGGCCAGCCATTCTGCTATGACAGCGTGCACAAACTTATGCTCGGTGTTTCTTTTTGGTGCCATTTACTACCAAGTTACATGCAAGGGCGTCTGGATGCCAAAATGGCCCACACGAAGCGCGGTACGAACTTGAAGTGGACCAGGCCTGCTCTTGCTGACCACGAAGAGGTCGTCCTAGGTATTGAGCGAAGGACAAAATCCAAAGTGAAAACGTAAAGGGCAGATTTTAAGTATGAAGGAAAGCTAGGGTATTATGGCTTGCCTCATTCGAAAAAAAAAAGAACAGCAATGATACACCGAATGGGTGGGACTAGTCCGAAGAGAAAGGCGGAACGTTCAGGTCCGGAAGCAGAAGAGACTACCTGACTGCTTCAACTTCTGCTGCTGCTGTTCTTGCGCTCTTAGAAGGTAGTGCCACACACGGTCGGCTTGCCTGTAACTCCAGCCTGCCTATGCTGCCTCAAGACCGAGTCACTCTTGGTTTGTGACGGGCGTTCCCATTGTTCCCTGGCCCTCCGCCGCCTCGTAATCTCCATTTGTTCACCAACCCTATCATTGGTCGCCACCGCTAGAGCTACAGTTCGTTGGCGCTATTCGCTGCCTTTAGGAACGAAGCTGAGCATACATGAGGAACGATACACAAGAATAACGATACACAAGAATAAGCTCGTTTTCGAATAGGGGAGCGACAGTTGCCTCGTAACGGTGTAACCCTCCCCCATTTCGTATATCATTCGCTCGGCATCGTGTTTTTACGTCTTAGGTATTTCAGAGTAGCTAGACGTGACCATAACAACACCAGTTTCACCGACAGTACTGACTAAGACCGAACAGATTGGGCCGGTACTTTCTTGCGGTCCCCAGTCTATCCCTTTTCTGCTTCGCGTTGTCTGCTAGAACAACGTGGACGTGGTGAAAGAGTGGATTTATTGCAAAGCAGCTCATCAGGACTCGTCACCGTAGATCCGACAAGACCTTTCTTCTCCATCTTTAAGCGGTCGTCCTGTAATAGCGGTGGGCGCCATGGTTCTACGATTCGCTTTCTCGCCCTCTTTCTCCCACCGTTCGAAGGTTCTAACTTGAACCTCTAGAGGTCCCCTACTTAGCAGCTGCTAACGAGCAGCCTGTTCGTTTGTCTGCGTTTACTGGCTCGTCGGAGAAATGAAGCAATCTCGGATGAGTCGAAATAGCAAGCTTATAACATCCCGTAGCCTCCACTATTCGCAACTTGTCCTTAGGCTAAGCACGTACCATCGCTATATAACACTTTCCACATGTTCTTCATTATTTTTGAAGTATTTGAAGGAGCACTTGCGCTACACCAAAAAGATCTTGCACATTAGTCTACTTGTAGGTGATTTTTATATGGTACGAACACGATCGAATTACCCTATAGCGAGCGTGGACATACTGTGTACTACATTGTTTACCCGTTGTGTCACAAGCACTACTGCATTATATAAGAGTGGTGGTATCTATAACTTTTCAATTTTCAACAAGGTAATATCTGAAATTGACGGGAGAAAATCCAAATTCTAACAGTAAGCGTATTATAAACGTACCTAACCTTTTTTCCAGATGAGAAGTAGCTGCTATATATGTATCCGTCGAAAGGATCAGCATATTTTTCCCTTTGTAAATCTTCAGACACAACCTAGCTTCTTAAAAATATGCTTGCCCTTGGTTTTTAATCACATCAATGAACCTCCAGCCACAAGAAAGCTTACGAGCTTTCTTCTAACAATGTGCCCTTCACTGTTATATTTGCTACTATTGTTATGTCCTCCTGCATAAAAATAAACAAATGCCTGTTATAAAAAAAACCCTATGGATAAATTTAAGTGAATCTATTTTTTTTGGAATTGAATGAATATAGGAATGTCAAGTTCTCGACCTGCTTGATAGAGCACGAATTAAAACTATGGATAGAGATGACAGCGAAATCGACCGCGAATATTCAAACAAATTAAACAGTCTAAATAACCCTGCGCTAGCGATCAGAACATGTTCATAATATAGTATCATTCCACAAGTATCCTCTTATTGTGCAGTCGTCTCGAAAGCTGTTGTCTAACCCGATACTAACATCATTTTCAAGTTCTCCAATCATTGTCAAGTTCTCCAATCATTGTCAAGTTCTCCAATCATTTTCAAGTTCTCCACAGATTTTAAACTATTTCACAATTACGCGAACGTTATACGGACCTGGAGTATTTGTTTGTTCACTTTGTTTTTGTTGCAAATGAATAGAATTTAATCAGCAACCAAAGCGGCAAAGCGTAGTGCTTTCTCTGTCAAAGTATTGTTTTTCTACGGTCGATGATTATTATTGAATAACGGTACGTTAATGCTTCTGATGATTTCCCAAGCCTAGATGGCTAGGACTTCTTCGGGTTTCAACCTTAGCGGCTGCTGCTCTGTTCGGCTGTTGATGCTTTGCATAGCCATATGGTCTGATTTATCCACGATCCATTGCCAGTTATCTACGTTCTCGTTTTTCCTTCATGCACGCAGTAGAACAATGATAGGTGTGGTAAAAGTATAATGCCTATAGAAAAAGCATTGTACGTAAAAGTGGTATGCGAGAACAAAAAGAGAACCGCGTTAGATGGAAGCGATGTTTTTCAGGGATGGACAACAATAACAACAGTTCTGAGCAGCTCACCAACTAACGATAGGTTGGAAAAGACTGGTCTCGACGAAAAGCTTTCATTATCTCGTGTAAGTTCCCGTTGAAAGAGCGGGAGGTCCGAATGTTCGATTGGCGTCGCGCTCCGGGCCATTGACTGTAACAATGGCCGCCAGTCAATCTAGACTAAGTGTGGGTACAACTAAGCGTACATTTGCTCACAGCCGATCAAGAGCCCGTTCGTTTCTTCTTGACCACTTGACGTTCGCCGGCAAATAAACGGTTTCGTTTCATATCCTATATATTACATACAACGTATGCTAGAAGAAAAAGATGACAGTCATAACAATGGCTGCATAAGCAGGTAAGCCCGTCAGCTTACGTCGTATTATTTTCAGCTGACCCTCAGATCCTATGTATCCTGTACACAAAATAGATTCATCTTGCGGTATAGCGTCAATGATTGCCAAGAGAAGTCTTGCTGGGCAGACCTCCAACAAACCTAAGATGTGACGACTTAACCATATCAGCAGCCCCCAAGTCTGTTATCGTTCTTTACTTTTGATCCGTATTTTTCCATGGTTCCTTTGTCAACATCTGCGGACGGTTAGAGCTGACCCAACTATGGCTGGCATAAATATGACACTAAATAATGTCCGTGCTGTCTGCTGTAACACACCCGTACATATTCAGACCATGCCACCGCTTTTTTGGGCGTTTGCGCCCGCCTATAGAATTATCACGTTGTTTTCCAATATGTTACTAAAATATTGTAATGTTACGTATAAGTGCGCCAACAGCCTAGACATGATGACAGTAAGGCCTAAAGTTAAGAACGCCCGTTATGTCGAAATACACGAAACTTCATATTATCTACGCAGGCCAGCATTGAATCCCCTTAAACCCTATTTTACGGAAGCTCAAGGTCCGTATCAAAGACGCACCTTATAATCACTATTAATAATAAAAATTGTATCTTTACAATGAGCACTAGTTACGCGAAAGAACATCTCTTATAGTTTGAAGACACATCATGCTCTATTGGCCTAAAAGGCTACCTTCTACGGAAGTAAATCGTTGAACAATCCAGCGTAGTCCACATCTCGAACTATCCATAATGTTTAATATTTTCGGGGATTAGGCTCCTAAACATAAGCACCGCAAAGGATGAAGTCTTCTCAACGAAATATTTAGTATTTTGCTTAATAAAGATAGGGATAAAAATATACTATTATTGATGAGTGTTGAAGACAATGAGATATGAGAGGAACGCACCCATGTGATATTGGCTGTGGCTACCAAGGTACAAGTTAGGACTTCTTCTGCATTCGTATAGTTCAATAAAATAGCATAGAAAAAAAACAAAGAAACCCAAAAAAATAGACGACAAATACAACATTGAACTAAGAATGTCTCCTTTTGGGATGCTATATATATATATATATATATATTCTTTTTTAGTTTAATTATAAATGATTTATAAAACGTTCGTTGCCAACCCTCATATGATATCTACAATTTCTAATACTTAACGAAACGGTCAAATTAAAATTATTTAAAAGAAAAGAGTACCGGCCTGATAAGGCCACGCACCCGTTCAAGTTTATGGGGTATGCGCGGTTGGAAGCAATTAGCAGGGATGAGGTTGTGATTTTTTTTCCATGAAAACTTTTTTCCTGAAAAAGGGGATTTACCTATGGGTTAAAGAAAAAAACACTCACGAGCGCCTTAACTACACCGTCGGCCGTATACTATATTCCGTCAAGGCCCGGTGGTCACGGTCAGTCACCAAATGCTAACAAATATATATACATGTACTATGTCCTTCGCAGAGCTCCGCAAGGGGACACGTCTTGCGCAAGCGGGAGCGGCACTAACGACGGCTCGGCTTCTATGGGAGAGTGTTGCACAGAGGAAAAACAGGACGAAGAGCAGCCCGTAACAATAGCCAACGATGGCCAAGAGCGTTCCAGACTTGACGCCATCTCATTATTGAATCAGCGAATACAAGGGAGTGGGGCGAGATTGGATGGCAGACGCTGTGCTAGAAAAAGAAGCATGCTGTATAGCAGTGCATAGCGATCAGAGCCGACCCGACGACTAAGGAACGGGTAAATAAACCATGGACCAGTCATTCTATCCTATCATAACATATATCACCTAGCTGAACCGCTAGCGTTTTCTTCATGTGGCAAAGTTGGAGACATGCGCCAAGCAGCCCGAGGCCAAATGTTTGAACTTCTATGGCTGGGGCTGAGATGGCGGTCACTGCAAGCAGATAGCCCCCCACTTCATTCACGTTAACCATATATTTATATATAAATAAATAAAATATATAAACACTATATTCTTTCACTATGGATAAAAAAAATAGCTAGTAAAAGATATACAGGCCATCAGTCGCTCATCTGCGAATATATCTGCTTTGGGCTTCTACCTTTCAACTACTTTCGCAGGTCTACCTCCTCTTTTAAGACCCAAAAAATCTCAGGCTATCGTACACGTTGCCTATGATGCTGTTGCTGCCGCTGATGCGCCAGCAGAGCCCGCTCCTATTCGGCGTTATCTTTGGCCTCTTCAGGCGCCCGGCAGGGTAAGCCGGCTGGCGGAAGGGCAGACGACCAACTGCGGCTAAGACAAGCTTCACCTTCGACTCGCGAAAGGCTTGCTAATCAGGGAGCCATCTCATATATATATATGAGCATCGTTTGAGACAGCAACTATGATACATGACCATACGAGGTATCGCATGGACACTTGGCACTTTCCAACGCAGAAGATGGATGTAATGACAGAGCAGTGGCTGTGTATTAGTATAGGTGAGTCCGTGCGCGATATGAGGACAACGTGGTAAAAGGATCCGCCCCCAAATAGCCCTAGGAAGCGAACGGAAGCCGAAGGCTTAAGACGTTTAGGACGCTACAAACGAATGCATCCACTGATACTCTTAGTTGTATTACTGAGGGTAACATGGTTCACAGCCTTAAAGCAATTACACTATTAGAGATGATATAAACTTAGTGATACGTAACCTTTACATAACCCCTTTGACGGAGTGCTAAGCGACAGTAGAGAAGAGGTATGGATCTATAAGCGTTAGCTTAGCTACACACGCGTCCGAGAAGAAAAATGGCGTCGCTTGCATCTTGTTGGTTTTCGAATTGAGTCACTGATTTGCTCTATAGTGTACTTTGTAGATGTATATATCAGAACAAACGTAGCCGTGTGAATTTTGTATATACGTGAGAGGTTTCATTACGTATGCACATGAGAGTCTGTCTAACGAAGCGCAAGCGACCGCTGCTGTTTGGACCATTACTCAAGGTTAACTAATAGTAAATAAACACATCTTTTTACATGGGATAGGCACGACTATACAGACTAACATTACTTAGACTTCATTATCCATTTTTTCCCATCCAAGCCATATATATATATATATATATAGTGCACCCACTTCGATTTAACATATGTGTGTCCGCATATGCTCAGTTGTAAGCACCTTGGGTTTAACAGGACAAGAAAGATGCTTTCAGCTGCCCTATCAGGTCAACTGCCATCGGACCTGAAGTTGTCCTAGGACAAAGAGCAATTCTTCTGAACCGATCTAGAGGCAGTTCTTTCCATTGACGCTTATCCAAATGTATTCACCTGTACATATTGGGTGCGGGACGCGTCGTAACCGGACGTTTCGGTGTTTACTTAACTGTCGTCGATTTCTTATTACAGTGAAATATGTTAGTTGCTAATTCTCTAAAGTCTCATGATTATCTATATGTATATAGACATAGAGTAGTAGCAGTCTTTAAATTCTAGTTACTGAAATGTCCAAAAACCGGGGAAGTAAATCTACTCGTATACGAAAATGTCTGTTGTCATTGGACGTTTCCCCAACATCCACTTGTAGCAGACTTCGACAAACTGGGCTAAACCATCACCATTACAGAAGGCTGTCAAAGGGGTCTAAACATTCTACCGACATTCCGATGTGGAGTAGGTAGAAGAATAGAAGACTAGACAAAAATCGAAATAGTTTTTCTTTAGATAGTCCAAAGTTGTCCACGGTTCGACGTGGGCACTGGATTTGAAAACTACAGTGCGGGTATTGGGTCAACAAAAAAAGAAAGAAAGAAAGACCACTTTGCGCTTCAATGGAGACCGACTTGGAAACTTACTTAATGAAATGATTTTTAAGGCTTTTTTTTTTTTTATTCTTATCGTCGCTTCCGTTCATCTCTAACTTTCGAAAATACGTTTAGCGTGCGTCTAGCTGTACGCCTGTTCGGCGTTATTATAGTCCAATTACTAGATGGGTACACAGGCCATCGCAAACGTTTGTCTGCATCCGCTCTCTCGACAGCCATACTAGGTGCCATTAAGAAAGCAGTACAGAGGTAGGACAAATGAATAAGTCGGATCGGTATGCTGTATTAAGCTTAGCACCAACTCAATAAAAAAGCACCACAGAGAGGTTCGCGCCTTGTGGCCTGTACTCGTCGCTAACGCCGCCGTCATCATTGCCAGCTACAGTAACACAACGCCTGCCAGGGTCAAACCGACCACTGCCGCCACTAAAACAAATAGTACAAGACTTTTGTCATCGCTTCCCAAAGCCTAGCCTGATATAATTGAAGCCCTGGTCTTTCGAGTTGACCAAACATTTCGAAGTGCTACAGAGGAGTACCGACCTCTGCGGCAGCGGCGGCGTAAGTGTCGACAAAGGGGCGACGTGTTTTGCTAAAAACGCAAGCCATCAGTTCTGCAAAATTTATAGCTGACAAAAATTATCTCTCAGACTTCTCAGAGTAAAATCATTTTTACCTATCGAAACAAAGCTGCCGGATGCCACAAACTACTCGAGTAATATATCAGTGATTTTGGAGTCAGTCAGCGCTATCTTGCTGCAGTATACACACTTTGGTCGATGGAACAGTCGGTTTCATTTTTTCAGAAATTTTCATTATTTGTTCATGGCTCTTGGCTATGACCCTCTTTTCAATGGAGTAGAAGTCGTCTCAGATCTAATTGGTCCGAATTGTTAGAGTGCCTTCATTAGCCAAGTTAATTGCGTACGTCGAACAAAGATGTCGAACAAAGGCCATCCTTATAACGGAACTATTCTAAAAGATGGTTCTTTTTCATAACACATTTCCAAAAGATGCTGTGAAAGTACGAAAATCAAGGCTAGGATAACCGCACTGACTTAAATTCGCTTTATTTTTCCAATTGGACTTAGCTTTTCTCTGCAACGGTAGTTCCGGCTGCATTTACGCAGCTTCCGAGTGTAGCCTCCCGGGAACACTGCGCCAATTGTTGCCTATTGAATTAATAGTAGGAAAGCTGACAAAAACCTCTCCACTGTCGTCTACATCTCAACAAATTTTGTAGTATAACTCATTGGATTGTGAATATGCATAGAAAAAGAACGCGGGGGTTCTTTGATAGGAGATTACTTAGAAATTAGTGTATTGATGAAGCAGACTCGCATACAAGACAAACAAAAAAAGATGTATCTTATTCCCAACTAATTTCAAATCCTTAAGTATACTAACGATCGTTATATGTTATCTCACCTGGCTATCGAAACTATTATTATATCACTCACCCAGTGTGGCTGAACTCCGGAGTTCACATTTGATATTAAGGTAATCCGTTAGGCACAAGATGCGGTTTGAAGTGAGGTGTAGTCCTAGTGCTAATTGTGGGGTCTATCCGGCGGACACTCACTTCCCTGAAGACCAGCCACACCTCTTTCTCTATCTATCACTATAAACACGCGCTGCTTATGAACTCGATGCTGGTATTGTTCCTATTATATTTAAACTTGCTACAGCCGTATGATGGTCATCGGTATACGAGGAGTCGTTGAAGTAACACTGTTAACCCGGCGTTGATACTAACACTGAAGCTGTGGTTGTTGTTCTTTCACACCCATATTGGGTTAATTAACCCATGTGCAGCATGTAGATAGAGATTTCTCTAAACAACTGCAGAAATCTCTGTCGTTCGCTTCGTTCTGGTACTTAGGCTGCCTTCTGGTTGAGACAGTCGCTTCCCTATAGGCCAATTTAGCCCTAGTCACCATTCCTATGATTTGGATGGCTGGCGACTTTGTTGTCGTTGCCGCCACCGCCGTTGTTCATTGTCACCAACGGTGTTAGAATTATTATCAAGGAAAAACAAAATCGCACAAATGCAGATCTTTCTTTAGTTTGAAATACGGCTGTCTGGCTATATAACCTGCCGGAGCCGTTCGCAAGCGCTGAAAAGGGACAAGGGCTCTAGTGGGATCCAGAGGGGGCGAACAGTCTTAATTAATGTTCACTCCTTTCTTTTTTGTTCGTATTGTTGAAGGATCTGTTATGTCACTGGTGTTATTTTCGTTGTTATACGACGTACAAATCATCACTTAGTAATTCAATGACATTCAAACGTTGTAGGTACTTTTGTTTATGTATTGTTGATCTTTCATAGTGTTATTGGTATGATGAAAATCTTTCAAAAAGGTTTTTATTATTGGTTGATCATTTACAGTGTTATTAGTAATGGTAGTGAGAGGGCTAGTTATTGTATTGGGCAGGGACCATCCACTTTCTCTCTAGGATATCTATGTTCATGAATGACCTTGAGATTTGTTAGCTAAAAGTAGCTGGTGAAACATTAAGGGCAGCTACTTTTCCATTTAGTCATTCTCACCTTGTCTGGCCCTATTTGCCTTTGCCACGTTTTCTAAGTAAATAGACACTGCACTGATTTGTATTTTTCGCTCGTTCTCCACCTATTTCTGTGCCCGCGCTAACGAAAAGCGGTAACCGTTAGTGGTCGAACTGCTTCCCCGCCAGTACTCCAGCTGATGTCGAGGCTACCCCTTTGATTGTACCTCTGTAGAACACCGGCTCTATACAGAAGCGCTACGTGGTGGGCCCGTAACTCTTTCGCCAGCTGTGTCAACGCTTCTGTAGCCGGCGGCCGCTGCTGCCATCGGTGCTAATGCTAACGAAGCGACGATTCTATTTAGCAGGGTCGAGTTAACAGTTGCGGACCTTACCTCTCATTTTTTTATCGTTAGGTTGATGTTTTCAAAGAATTCTGATAATCATTTCGGCGTCCGCATCGTTATTCTTCGAACAGCGTGTTCTACTCAAGCATTTTATTCTGTCCCTCTTTGATTGGGTTCTAATTGGCGATTTATTTTTCGCTGACATTTATTACGGGAAAAGTGTGAACACAGTCGTTTCGCAAAGTTTCACTCTTCACGTGCTTCCTACCTCTTCCACGACAGGTGCACAGATAGAACCGAAGAGGTAGCGGAAGAAAAAGATGACGATGGTGGTACACTGATGTTGAAGCACTAACAGAACGAGATTACACTAGAGGGGATTTATTGAAACTTTCGTCTACTGAAGTTGCATAATGCCACATCACGGGCGATTTGACGGCTGCTCGGAGCCTTGACTCTCGCTAAATTTTCGATCGCTGGTTTGACTCCAACTAAGTCGAACGCTCCGGTCATAAAGGTTCTTGTTGCTACCAAAACTTAATTACGGCCAATCCACTGAATGAGTCGAGTCGTGTGCTATCTTGTCATCTGTCCTTTTTCTATTTAGGTTCCTCTTTACTGGTCCCGATGACTAGATAAAGAGCACGATAAGGCGTGCTTTATTACATAATACCTTATTTGCTCCGATTGTCTGATCCGCGATTTTCTGATTGACCCTGGTACGGTAGCACGAACAAATCTTTCTTCTACATCTTTTCCACCAGGAAACTTCAATTTGGCGGCACGTTTGGCGACGGAGATTGGTAGTTGCAGGAAACGCGTTTGGCGGATCAAGGGTTGACTAAAGGGCGGTAGACAGAACAAAGGCCTAGGGGAGTAGGGGTATCATGGTGAGTGGTTGTGCCATCCTAGATTCGCGGAAAAAAGGATGTACGACACATTATCCGTTTTACTTCTGCTTGTAATTTACTGTACCTTCTCTCGCTGCTGCTTGTGTTGCCGGTCCTGCCTCCGTCTTCACAGCCGCCTATTGTCCCGTTTTTGATCTTGTTTTCATTGTCGTCGTTGCCCTGTTTCTGTTAGGATCTTCTGGCTAACTCGTCTTACTATTTTGGTTTCAACAGCGTCAACTTCTGCTGTTCATGGTTTAAAATAGTGATAGGACTGTAATTTAAGGGATCTGACGATCCGGAGTTCTCAGTTAAAACCGATGGTAAGTAGTAGTGCCTGGAAAACAGCTACTGAATAGCCAGGCGGATTGGTGATTCGATAGCTGTTCCGAACGACGCAGTTAAATGTTACAATCTCTTTTCCTTCCTGTTATTTTCTCTGCTAATGGTGTTATTGACGTCAGGCGCTCTGCAATACGGATTGTGGCTTTCTAATTAGTTACTAGCTCCCTTGCAGGATCAGTAAATGCGACTTAGTCCATTTGTCCCTCTGTCCGTTCCTCGGCGTGCGATGGACGCAAGCGGCACTTGGAGGCGGCTAGCAGCTTAGTAAGCAGTGGATGGACAAATTTGCACCACGATTCGTCGAGTACTGGTGCTTTCCTATTGTTTGTACTCATCGTTCGACTTCGACAAACAGAGGAAGATAGACGTCATTTTTCTTCGTTACGTTCTTCTGCTTTATCGGTTTTCGGTATACTCTGGGAAACAACTGTCTCCACCTTTCGGATCTCGGGTCTGGCTTAGTGCCCTGTCCGCACTGGTCGGCCGTCTACTCTGATTCAGGCGAATTGGCTTAGCCCGCGCCCGCCATGAGGATGGCTGCCGCAAGCGCCATCTAGAGGGTACGAGGAATACTAGTGAGCACCTAGAACAACGACCCTAAAGAGGGAAACGTCAGCCTAAGAAGAGCGTTTAATCGAGCGAGCGACCGAGTGTCGGTGGTTGGCCTAGGCCCAGGCGGGTTCAGGTGGACGGGTAGATAATCGCACGAAGAGAGAGGGGAACCAAATGAGACCTAGTCTAGCTAAACTCAATTCTTACAGGAAATCAGAATCTCAGCACAAGGGAAAAATTATGCTCGCGTTTTTCTGTGATATATTGACAGCCATGAAAAAACATGGACGACAGCAGCGGATTGAGGAAGAGAAGAGGCGAGAATCAGGCAAAACAATCATGCAGAAGAAATAGGAATGGGACGTGGCTGTTGTTGGGACGTCGGTTTACTGTGCTACAGCTCAGTAGGATGACAGACGCATTAAGATACTAACGAGAACGACTTCAATAGAAATTCTGCTTGCTTGTGTCGATAGTATCCTTTTGATCGAGATTGATGGCAATGGTTATTGAAAGTGTCGCAGTCCAGACGTGAGCGATGATATGCAAACGTACAATAGGTAAAGGACAGCAGTGGAACGGTCCCTAGTATCTGGAAAGTGCCAACTAAAGGGGAATACGAAACCGTGGAATTAGGCATGTATTTAGAATACGGCGATAGAAGTGCGATAAAAATACGGCGAGTTGCTGCGCTTATTGCTTATATAGCTGCGCCAAAAAGCAAGGAAATAAGATGCTTTTCTAATGAACGTAAACACATGAGCCTTACATCACGATACTGCCGGCGAGCTAATGACGAGTAAAATTTGTCCGACATGGCTAAACCAGCGACGTAAATATGCAGTATTGCTCATGCGATGACATAAAATTTTCACAGTATACGCATGAACTAGGTTTCGCGTAGGGGATCTGCATCGTCTTCTCCTCTAGCAAACACCTCGAACGTGACTTCGGTCTGAATGGTGCGCTTTTTTTTGCCACCCATTTCTGTAAAAAGACGGTTTTAAACAGAAATACGCACGTCTGTAGATTTTTCGCATCAGAACGTCCGCTATTCATTCTTCTACATTCTTCAACATCTACATTGGACGACCCCAAATTTATAGAACTCGTGTAGAAATAGAAGACGGAGGTTGTTGGCGGCCCTCTTGAAGACGAAATGTCGGCATAATACTTCTATGCATTTGTGGGTTCTAGCTCGTCGTACCAACAAATGATCTCAATTGTGATTGCTTAGTGTTCTTTTTAGCATCTGGAACCGCATTTAGCATATCAGTATAGTATTCCAATAACTACTTGTAGAAGCACTCTTATGTCAAATTTATTTAAAATCAATTGCCTACCTAACAAGAATTAAAAACCGTTGACATTTCAAGACAGATTTTAGTATGAAAGCTGATTTACACATTGTCATTTTATTAACACGAAAAACTTTTTTTTTTGTGTAAATGAGACTAATAACAAACATTTCGGATGTGTGGCTTATTACACATACGTCGACATGACACGATTTTGCTTGAAACGGACACATTTTTACTTCAAATATAAATAAAAATTCATATTGATTTCAAACTATTTCAATCAGCGCAAACTCAGCACGTCCTTTTCTTCAGCATTTACCACTGCTTTTACGTGTTTTTACTAGGCGAGATAATCGACTGGCTGTTTTAAAGGGATGAATAGGGATAGGGTCAGTTACATCTCATGTCGAAGCAGTGATCTATAGTTTGTACTGATCCGCAGTCACGTACGTATCGTATTGCGCTAGGCTAAAATACTGATCTGTGTTTATACCAAAAAACTTTCGCTATCTTGAATCATTGTTCAAATAATTAAAATTATGGCGCTCTTTTTGCGTCAACACTACTTGATTAGTCGAAACAAAAACTCAATCGAATCTTTAGCTTTGCATAAATATATAAAATAAAAATAAATATGTAAAAGATGTTCCAATAATTGTGATTCTATTCATAGTGCCAGTAAGTAAAGTCCCGCATTTTATGCAACCTATGTAAACTTTGAAGGCCGACACCAAACTCCGCCGTTATTATATTCTTCAGAAAGGAGGAATGTCTTACTTATCATTGAAATCATCTCCTATCCTTCAAGCAATCAGTCACCGTTTCATATTGTCATTGAAGGATGAGGTATAATAATAAATACCTTCAACTGACTAGCATATTTTCGCAATTGCAAATGCCAGGAAGCTTTGTCGTCTATGTATATATAATAAATAGGACTTGACGATCGCAATCTCATTTAAAACATGGTGATATTATTAAAGGATCCAATGAACCTTTATTACGTACTGCAAGCAGTTGTGACATAAAGGGCCGATCTTGCGTATGTTGATATAGGCCAAAAAAACAATTTGATCATACGTTCAAGTCGTCTATAAAAATCGGTCTGTCTTCTAAAGGAGCTGATCCTTGCAGATGAAATCTCGCCCCAACGTACCGAGACATTGAATAGTATCATATAGACTTTAGGTCAGAATTATGTAATAGCGGTATGGTTCCTCATTATATACCGAACCCATTTTGAGACAACTAGATGACGAAGGGTCGGGCTGTTCAATCGAAGAAAGAAGCGCTTTCGGAGAAAATCTCTCTAAAAAGGTACCTTGATGTTATAGCTGATGCACTTGTCTCACTGTTATTAATTGCTTATATTATACTTATGTTATAAACTACGAATTTAATTTTTAACTTTAATTGCTTAGAACATGTAGTTCGTGGAGAAGCTTTCAGGTTAGGTACGCTTGTCCAACTTGATTCATTAACTCAAATATGTAATCTTTATCATACATTGTTGGCTAGGTCTCAGGTCAGTGCTCTGCATTTTTTCCAAAAAATATGCAAAATTTCATCCCCTACCCATGTAAATTCTTATTCAGCTCAAACAGTCAAAAAGAAGTAGATGCACACATAGAATATACATCTTTCCACCGCTAAGAACTCCTTCTTAACGCTAATTTCAATACTATCTTAGATCGTTATCGCGCTACTCTGTTGAAATCTTATGTGTTGCACTACTGTATATACGTGTATTCCGATAAGGTTTGCTAGAACTTTTAAGCGTACATGTAAACTCCCTACTGAAATTTTGTCCGTTTTAACGATCACGCCTTAAAAAAGGCACCGATCTGAAATGTTAACCACTCATCCCTTTGTGCATTCAAGGCCATTAAGTCATTTGCTATTGATGTGTTTTAACGATACAGTAGACACACATATGGACACAAAGTAGGATCAATACTGTGCAACGGTAACGTATTTGCCTACAAAATTCAAACATACGTCGGGTCTAGCTTTGAAACCAGATGTAGATACACTTCTTTTCATGCGGGAAGCCAGCCCTCTGAGCTAGCATTAGTTGATAATACCGAGTGTAGGACCGCAAATATAGCTTTACTGGCCTGAGGCACTCAAATGAGTCAAGCCAACTTAACCTATTGGCTCAAACGTGGGTGATAGTTGACTGTTCTAGATTCAATTCCCTGGATGATGATTTACGGCTTGGACGTTTCAAATTTTTTCGAGGACTTAAGGATCGCTAGAGGACATTTCGTTTCAACTCAGCAGAAACTTGCGGGTCAGTTCGATAAGCAATTTTCGAATTACCTCTCCGCTACGAAAGCCATACCGAAGCCATGGGTATAGGTTTTCCATGAACTCGATGAGCGGTAACAATAAGTTAAATAAAATAATAAGTTCCGTACTAAATTATGTAAGACGCCAAAAAAAAAAAATGGATCTTCGATTATGATTCCCATTGTAAAATATCGTGGTTTGGTTTCAGAGACCAGCAAAATCCTGCGCAAAGCAAAGTGTTTGGGAGGCAAAAGCCTTTTTCTGTGTTGGTAGTATATGAACCAAGTGCTGTACTCCAAGTTTCTAAAGCAACCCGAAAAAGCTAATACAAAACATTGTATACGTCAACTTTTTGAACCGAACAGCCCAATAAAGAAACGAGTGTTTTTTATCGTTTAAGTGAGGCAAAGTGATTTGTCTGCACAATAACGCTGGTCCTCTGCGATGGGTCACTTACCCAATTGTGCTGAGGGGCTTCCTCTCATTTGGCTCCTTGAGAGCAGCATCTACTTTGATGGATGCAAAATGTTATTAACCCGAAACAAGACGATGATGGAACAAAAATCCGAAAATTGGTTTTTGATTCAAGCAAGCAAACATTGTCAGTATCGCAGAAGAATCGGTGAGCTGCCGCACGAATGGCAAAGAACTATAAATCTAATGGCATTCATTTCAATATCAACGTTAGGCAAAAGAAAACGCTGAAAGTTAACTTATAAGCCTATTGGATGAAAGCCATTTAGGTGCATCTACCTAACATGCATGCCATTTCTCGGCCTACACACAGCCACTACAATGACTTTCCTATTAAACATAGCGAGTGGATTAAATAGGACAAAAGCTATTTTTATGTGAATATTCGTAAAGAGATGGTCATGTTTTTCCGAGGTTGAAAGGTTTCCTTTAGGTCTTTTCTATTTACTAACAGTACAGTTGACACTGATAATTTAGCTTTTTACCCAGAACTAGTTATCACTAGACCGAATTCTGATAGACGATGCCCGATGGAAGACGTGACTGTCATATTATGACGTAGACAGTCTGCGAAGTAGAGGTTTCAGTGGTTTTGATACATGAAGCTAGTCATCACCGTTATTTGTATGCATTTTGTAAAATCATCCTATGGACTTGCTAAGCTAGGAATGCAGAACTAAGCTAAGGACAGAGGTAGCGCTAGACAATTGAGTAACATATTCGAGTGACGTGGTTATAAATAGTTTATCAGTAAGTATGAAACGATATAACGTCTTTGAGTTAAACAGTCGCTTTCTAGAAACGAAAAGTAGAAAAAGTCCAGGCGCCTACGCTTTTTTCTACTAATGGACGGAATACATAGTTATGTTCCAGTCATTGCATACAGCACCCTCGATCAGTCGATTATCAAATTCGGACCAGTCGACTCCTATGCGGAAGGAGAATTTAAGGTAATTTAATCAAAGAATACTGCAAATACGTTAATATCTGAAAAATTGTTTTTAGATCAAACGTAAGGGGAAGGATTTCACATTTTGC